AATGGTTAAACTATATGCATTAAGGTTACTGTGAATTTCTAGCAGAAATATATTTTCAGCATTTTTTGCACAAGCCTAAGCCTAATGCTGGTGAATAGCTTCATGAAATATAGGTGGTGCATGTGCGACCAGTCAAAGTAATTAGACCCCCCCCCCCCAGTGGCATAGCGGTATGTCTGCGGACTTAGAACGCTAGAAACCAGGTTTCGATACCCGTGGTGGGCAGAGCATAAATAGCTCATTGTGTAGCTTTGTGCTTAACTTCAAACAAACAAACAAAGTAATTATTCTACATACTGGTTTTGGGTTACATTTCCAGGAGGCTATAATACAAACCCCCTTAAATTCACATAATTCATTCTGTTTTGGCATACTGTACACACACCTTGCGGTACTAATTTATCTGTCATGTGTGGGACATACCATGCGTTATAAATATATCCGAATAATTTGTAAGTCATTGTACATTGACATGGTACTTATTCTTGGGCCAGTAAAAGTGTCTTTTGAATAACACGAGAAGTCCATTAGAAACCCTGACTATTGCTACCCGTGAAAAACTGATTTTCAGAGCTGATTAGTGCACTTTGTTTGCTTAGAGAATATTCACGCAAAGTTGCACAATGGCTATCCTTGCAGAGAAGAAGCTAGTTTAACGGTTATTACTACCAACTCCTCGGTTATTACTCTTGTTAATGTGGCGAAAAGAAACGTAATTTCTCAACTATATTTACTTAATGATTCGTATTGAATGTTCTAAGCCGTGTGCGACTGAAACAAGTTGACATTAAACACAATGAAAATAAGCAAACCACTAGCACGTCAAATCAAATGTTAAATTTATCAGTGGCTCTGTAAATAACACTTTGGTTGGGAGGCTTAACACCGCTGTTGTGTAGTGACCTGAATGAGCGGTGCTATGGAAAAGTTGTCCTTCGTGTGGTAACTTGAAACACACATGCATACATAGTCGCAAGCCTAATTTCAAGGTTTGACTAACAAATGCTACACCTAGAATATAGTCCATAATCTTCTAAGACACGAACAAACTTAGTGTAGCATTTGTTAGTTAAATCTTGAAACCTAGAATATAGTCCATAATCTTCCAAGACACGAACAAGCCTAATTTCAAGATTTAACTAACAAATGCTACACCTAGAATATAGTCCATAATCTTCTAAGACACGAATAAACCTTGTTTCAAGATTTAACTAACAGATGTTACACCTAGAATATCTTCTAAAAACACAAACTTAGTCTCAAGATTTAACGGGAGATATATCTATAGTGTAGCCTTTAATCGTCTAAAAATGCAAGCTATTATACTGAATTGCATTCTGCTCTGGTAAGCGCAATACTTTTTTTTCTTTATTTAACTTTTATCAAGCATGCTCGAATGTCTTCCAGTGAGCAGTAAGTTTACGAACTTACAGCACTCAAAGGTGGGGATCAGTGGTGAAAAGAGCACAGATAGTCTATTTGGTAACGTTGCGCTAAAAATACAAACATCATCTAAATCTACACCATCTATTTGATTGGAAGCAGTATTGCAACGAGAGCTATGCGAGAATATATAAAATAATTATCTGTACATTGTCAAAACTAGCAACTCTAGGGACTTTACTAGAAAAAAACATTCTGTGATTTACAAAGCCATTTATTTGACCCATTATAAACATCAAAATCCCCCTGAAATGGTACTTTATAGTTTAGTATTCTGTTCTTTTCTTTTGGGAGATGTAAGGAGACGAGTTTGTTTTACAAAATACCATTTCCATTCACTTACATTTTTGTGCATTTTGAGAGATGTTGAACCAGTTTCAAAGTATTTTTTATATGCAAATCATGTATCAGGAAAAAGTCTTGAAGTGGGGCTCTTAATAATGATCTTTTTAAACAAACTTTTAAAAATCGAGTAAATTAGGGGTGAGGAAGCTTACAGTTTCTTGATAGAATGAAAATAAAACATTGTTATTTGTTCTATGCATGTGCCAGGATCACAAAAGAAACAAAAAAAGCACGTTTATTTGAATATGACAAATTCAATTTTATAAGCAAGGTCTTTGAAATTTACATATTTCATTATAAAGCGATGGAGCTTCCTTAAAGTAAGGCTCTAAACTAACACAATTTTCTCGAACACTTTCTGTGATTCAAAAGTGCTGTATCAAAAGAAGTACCAAGTTTCGAAAGTTGACCAGTTTTTTATGATTGTACAAATAACACTCCAGCATCAGCTTGCCCGACGACTTTCTGAAATCAGATGTCAAAAACAAATATATATAACGACTCTCCAAATCTTGCCCTGTTGTTTTAAAAGCCAAACTTAGGCAATAATAGTTATTTATTGAATTACTGTGACGCGAATCTCTAACTCTTAACATTTGGTGTATTGTTTAAAGACATAAAAATCAAACTGTCATTCTTGTATAATCAATCTCTGTACTTTACGAGACCTTTCTCTGAAAAATTCACTGTATTCTTGTATTTATTTGAACTTTTTCCTCCTTAAGCAAGGTTAAGTCGTTCATATTACCTTCCTGTGAAGAATGCGATTTAACTTTTTACAAAATCTGGCTTAAAACCTTTATCCTGACCAGCACTTATACAGAAAAATGGTACGTGACGCAAAGAGACCGAACATGTGATATCTTTATGTGTTTGATATTTTCAACCTGAACGTCAATTTATACGCCACCTTTCTTTTTATTATTATTATTGTTATTGTGTAATATTTCTTTTATTATTATTATTGTTATTATGTAATGTTTCTTTTTATTATTGTTATTGTGTAATATTTCTTTTTATTATTGTTGTTATTGTGTAATCTTTCTTTTTATTATTATTGTTATTGTGTAATATTTATTGTTATTATTGTGTAATATTTATTTTTATTATTATTGTGTAATATTTATTTTATTATTATTGTTATTGTGTAATATTTCTTTTTTATTATTATTGTTATTGTGTAATATTTCTTTTTATTATTATTGTTATTGTGTAATATTTCTTTTTTATTATTATTGTTATTGTGTAATATTTCTTTTTATTATTATTGTTATTGTGTAATATTTCTTTTTTATTATTATTGTTATTGTGTAATATTTCTTTTTATTATTATTGTTACTATGTAATGTTTCTTTTTATTATTGTTATTGTGTAATATTTATTTTTATTATTGTTGTTATTGTGTAATATTTATTTTTATTATTATTGTTATTGTGTAATATTTATTTTTATTATTGTTGTTATTGTGTAATATTTATTTTTATTATTATTGTTATTGTGTAATATTTATTTTTATTATTGTTGTTATTGTGTAACACGTCAGGATATTTCGAACTGCTTTAGTCCACCAGCATTGGTTATGCAGTGTCACACCACATTTGGCTCACTAAGTTAATGTTGTTTGTGTTAATAATATCTTAAAGAGATATTAATATCAGCGATCAAGGAGTATCATCGAAGTTAGAGAAACAAAACAAACGCTGATATGATCTTCAGAAACAAGCTTTTTTTTTTTCATTTCACACAGGTCTGTTCTGTCTGACATAATATTGTTTTGTAGCATAGAAACCATTTTCTCCCCTATTCCAACGTCTGTAACGTTAACCAAAAAATTCTAGTCAAATTCTGGATACAACAGTTATCTTAGGAGTTACATTTCAGACAAATATTTCAATCCATTTTCGTTAAAATGTGTTTTACGGCCATCAGTGATATTTTTCAGGATTAATCGTAATATTAAATATGACAGAAAGTTTTCCTATATCTTTTAAAGTAAAATGAACACGCACAACACGAAATGCCCCCCAATGGTCTGTGGACTTACAACGGTAGAAACCGGGTTTCGATACCCGTGGTGGGCAGAGCACAGATAGCCCATTGTATAGCTACAAGCACGGTGAGGAAAATCATTAAATCGCCGTCACAATTGTCTTAAAAGTGTTTTTTCAACCTTTATATTTTTACCCCAGTAGCGTCTAACGATGTACATAAAATGTTAAGTCTTGTCGCTTGAATAAATGAGGTGACAATCGTGACAAAATTTCTAAAATACCAGAAAAATTTCCAGCTCGCAGATATATAAATATATATATAGGATTACACCACTTTTTATCCATTCTTCCAGATATATAGGATTCCACCACTTTTTATCCATTCTTCCAGATATATAGGATTTCACCATTTTTTATCCATTCTTCCAGATATATATATATAGAATTCCACCACTTTTAATCATTCTTCCATATATATAGGATTTCACCACTTTTAATCATTCTTCCAGATATATATATTAAAAAGTGGTGGAATTCTATATATATATCTGAAGAATGGATAAAAAGTGGTGAAATTCTATATTTCATTCTTCCACATATATATATAGAATTCCACCACTTTTTATTCATTCTTCCACATATATATATATAGAATTCCACCACTTTTTATCCATTCTTCCAGATATATATATATAGAATTTCACTACTTTTTATCCATTCTTCCTATGAGTCTATTTGTTTCTGTATGTGTTGTGACTCAGAACTTGTTTTTTTATTTGTTTTACAAATCCTGTTTCTAAATATTTCTCTTTCTTCTTCCTTTAACCATTATATTTGTCATGTGGTACATCCTCTCTCTCTTCTTTCTTTAACTATGTTAAGTGACACCTCTCTATCTATTTCTGTGTAGTTAACTGTTAAAAATGTATATCATTTTAACCTTGTGATTTTACCTTTACATGATACACCACTTGCCATTAACTACGTGTAAATTCACGTTCACGGCTCTTACATTCGTTTCCTAAAAAGTAATTTTAAACTCTAAAAGTTTTTTTCTTTTATCTTTTTATTTTTATTACAAACTTTCTTGCCTTTATTCATGCCGAGAACATAAGCTGACTTATTAAAAGTATTAAGTGATTAAAAATAGCTAATAGTTTTGAGTTGTTCATTTTAAGGCTATTTTCTTTAATCCTTTTTTTGTTCTCACTTTTCTTACAGTGACATGCTTAACAAGTAGTGTTCTTACACTTACTGCAATAGCCTGCGATCGTTTCATTGCCATTCTGTTCCCGTTTCGAGCCCGCATCACTAAGCAGCGTACAGGAGTTGTCATAACAGTGATCTGGTTGGTCTCCTTAGCCGTAGCCATTCCGTTCATAATTTACAGAGAGTACTACCAGATTCAGGTGAGATCGTAGCTACTGCTGGACTAAATTGGTAAGAAACAGCATAATAATAACAGCTAGTAAATAAGAAAAAAGTAAGAATATTATATTAACATTATTTTTCCAAAACGATATCTTCGTTTTAGTTACAATGAATGATATAGTTAGAATCAGTAAATAGTAATTGTATTTCGTCTTTATCAAAGGTTATTTTTCAGAAGTCTTTAAACCTTTTGAAAGATAATGAGATGCGAATATTTTGTCATTCGTTACGTTATTCATTTTATTGTATTTTTTAAATCAACACATAAGTAAACTTCCACGGATAAAACCCTTAACACACAGCCATCTAATACTGCTACGATTTAATGTTAATGGAAGGTCAAAATCAACGCCACGATAACGAAACGTTCTTCAAGAAGCTTGAGGCATAAGATAGTCTAAAATAAATCCTCACTTTATGTTATTACAATAAATAATAATGAAACATCAAATATCTTTTGAATGTTTTCTGAATATTTTCTTACCCAAGAGTTACAATTTAGGGTAGAAATATAGAAATCTCCCCTTAAATGATGAGGTCTTCTATTTTATAATATTCTTATTTGTTAGGGTACTCGACCTGCAATTTGAAGGTTACGAGTTCGAATCCAGTCTCCGAACATTCTCACCCTTTCACTTGTAGAGGTCCTATAATGTGACGGTCAATCCTACTATTATTGGTTAAGAGTAGGCCAAGGGTTGACTGTGGACAGTAATGACTGGCTTCTTTCCTCTAGTCTATCACCTCAAAATTAGCGACGACTAGTGCAGATGTCTCTCGAGTAGTTTTGGGCGAAATTCAAAACAAAGGAATAGAAATAACCCACACTTTTTTACAGCAACATGTTCTCGTTTTTCGTAAACAAACAAACAAAAATTTTGTTTGTTTTTCTAAGAAAAAGTAGTATCGCGAATTAAGAATTAGTTAGAATATCTGCTTACCATGATTTACTACTGCTATATGTTATAGCAGTTAGCGTGTCACACTGTAATTCCCAGTTCACATTCCGTTACCTCAAAATCGTACTCTGCACTTTGGACCGTGGTTGCATTATTAGAGTATCGATGAAATCCCGCTATTAAATTAGAGTAACTAGTCAAAAAGCTGGTGATGGATGCTGTTGACTGACTAACTTTCCTCTAGTCAATTAGCTCAAAATTAGGGACAGCTAACGCAAATAGAACTCGCGTAGCATTGTTTCCAATATCCGAAAGAATCAAACAACTAACAATGAATGTAGTTATTAGTCACATAGAATCCAAGGTGAATCTTTATTGTTGTATCCTCTTAATTATGATGTACATATTAAAAAAACGACATAAGTCACTCTGGTACCATTGAGCATTTCGTTCTATTTATAGAAACTCAAAATGGCCGCTATCGCCATATTTATGTCAGATATTGTCAGTATAAGAATATATCAAAACATTTAAAGTACAAAACTGGAAGTATTCTTGTATTCTGTTAACAAACTCTCTTTACGTATTATCAGATGTGTCATATGCACTCAATGTAGAAGTAAGTAACTTTATTAAAAGCATTAAAAATGAACCAAAATTTAAAGGAAAAATGGCGGACATTTCAGTCCGAATATTAGATTTTTCGTTTGCATTAACAGAAAAAAAATGGTTCAAATTTCAGATACATGGATGTAATACAATGTGATGTGTGATTAAAATACGGCTAGCACTCGAATTGTACATCAAATGGCACAAAAAGCTTAAGCTTACTATATAAATGAGGAAATTAAAAAACAAAACAAAAAATGATTAACCTTTTGATGTTTCTTGGTAATGCATCGAATAGTCAGGAACTTCGGTAATTATGTAGCAGACATTAAACATCAAAACGGTGACTAGAATTTGTCATGTGCGCCAATATAATGACTAATATTTGTAAAGTACTTCATAATAGTATAAATATAGAGATTAAAACGTCTCAAAACTAAAGTAAATCACTGAAGCTAGAAGATTGTTTTCCTAAGGTATGTAAGATATCATTTCTATCCACAGTCATTTGTTTTAGAAAAAAAAACACTGGTGAGGAGAGATACTGTTTTGGTTTATTAAAAAATTCCCGAATGTGCTAAAATGGCATTCTTTGGATTCCCATTAAGCACAGTCCATGTTTCACCTTGAATTCGCTATGCTTCTACTGGACTATATATTTTCAGAGTTAATGATTACTATGATTGGTTTGAATTTCGCGTAAAACTACACGATGGCTAGCCGTTCCTAATTTAGCAGTGTAAGACTAGAGGGAAGGCAGCTAGTCATCTCCAACCACCGCCAACTCTTGGGCTACTCTTTTACCAACGAATAGTGGGATTGACCGTCACATTATGACGCCCCCCACGGCTGAAAGGGCGAGCATGTTTGGTGGGACGGGGATTCGAACCCGCGACCCTCAGATTGCGAGTCGAGCGCCCTACCCAACTGGCCATGCCTGGCCCATGACGACAGAGAGAAAGGATTTGTTTGGTTTAGCGCAAAGCTACATAATAGCTAGTTGCGCTCTGTCTACCATGCGGAATCTATCCCCGGATTTTGGCGTTTAAATACGTAAACTTACTTTTGTTTGAGGAACAAGAGAAAATAAATGTACCGTAATTTTATTACATGACACAAAATTTTCATATCTTTTATACTCAACAGAATAACAAATTATAGACAGATCTATTCTTAGAGGGTCCTCCGTTGGGCCAGCGGTAAGTTTACACATTGTATAGCTTTGTGCTAAAATAACAACAATTCCTGGAGGACCTCGAAGAGACTAAATTTGAAATAAAAGTCTAAATATTGTTTGAATATGCTGTGTCAATGAATAGTGAAAAGAAAAATAGACATTTTTTTTCAATTTTTGAAAATAATGATTTCTGTGTAGAATTCCATCAAAAATGTTCTCAGATTAGGAAATCACCTTACGTGTTACTTGAAATACTAGAGTGTTCTCTAAGGATGAAATAAAAAGAATGTATTGATAGAGAGACTTTCAATGTTTCTTGTACTTTGTTATCATAAAAAACTCTGGTATTGCGCAAAATAGCTTGTGGACACCCGTTTACAAAAACATAAATTATTATTATTGAAATGCTATTACATCCCATTGTTCCTGGAAATCCATATTGGGCCAGTAAATAGTGATGTGACGTATTGTTATTAGAAGCCTTTCGTAACACAATATCACAATTGTTTATTTATTTATTTGTATGATTATTTGGAAGTTTGCGCAAAGCTACACGAGGGCTATCTGCGCTAGCCGTCCCTAATTCATCAGAAAAAACTAGAGGGAAGGCAGCTAGTCAATCACCACCCACCGCCAACTCTTGGGCAACTCTCTTACCAACGAATAATGGGATTGACCGTACTATTATAACGCCCTACATTTCCATTGCTAGTTTATTATTGCTTTAGTAATTTTCCTTCTATTTTAAAGTGGAAAGACTTTGGTTATTTTCCTTCTATTTTACAGTGGAAAGACTTTGGTTATTTTCCTTCTATTTTACAGTGGAAATACTTAGATTATTTTTCTTCTATTTTACAGTGGAAAGACTTGTTTTTTTTTCTATTTTACAGTGGAAAGACTTTGGTTATTTTTCTTCTATTTTACAGTGGAAATACTTGTTTTTTTTCTTCTATTTTACAGTGGAAAGACTTTGGTTATTTTACTTCTATTTCACAGTGGAAAGACTTTGGTTATTTTCCTTCTATTTTACAGTGGAAAGACTTTGGTTATTTTTCTTCTATTTCACAGTGGAAAGACTTTGGTTATTTTTCTTCTGTTTTACAGTGGAAATACTTAGGCTATTTTTCTTCTATTTTACAGTGGAAATACTTTGGTTATTTTCCTTCTATTTTACAGTGGAAAGACTTTGGTTATTTTTCTTCTATTTCACAGTGGAAAGACTTTGGTTATTTTCCTTCTGTTTTACAGTGGAAAGACTTTGGTTATTTTTTTCTGTTTTACAGAGGAAAGACTTTGGCTATTTTTCTTCTATTTTACAGTGGAAAGACTTTGGTTATTTTTCTTCTATTTTACAGTGGAAAGACTTGTTTTTTTCTTCTATTTTACAGAGGAAAGACTTTGGTTATTTTTCTTCTATTTCACAGTGGAAAGACTTTGGTTATTTTTCTTCTATTTTACAGTGGAAAGACTTTGTTGAGGCACATTGCGGGGAAACTTGGCCACCAGCTATTGTCTATGACGAAAATCTCCAGAAGTGCGTGACAACATACCCATCAAAGCAGCTATACTATACCTTTGTAGCAGTGACACTGTTTTTCCTTCCTGTAATAATTATGGCGACCGCTTATTTTTTGATAATATGGAAGCTTTGGGTATCTGAGGTACCCGGCGAAAGAAACCCAGTCAATATTAGTGTTCAACATCGATCTATGAAAAAGGTATGACCTGTATGGAAGAAAAAGAAAACACTGTTAATAGCTGTCATGAAAAATATTTAGCACGGCAACAGATGTTAGACGTATAAACTAATAACGTTAACAAGAGAGACAATCAATTTCAGACCTTTAGACTCGTCATAATATATATTTGGTAATACGATATTGTCAAAAACAAAAACATTCCAAAGCTTTGTTAAGAGTATTTTAGAAACACAAACTATAATAATTGTATATATTTATAAAAAGACACTTTTTTTGCTAAAAATAATCCATTATTTTACACTGCTAAACTTTAGTATGACGTATTGTAACCAACTTGCCTATTCGTTTAAATAATGAGCAGGTTAATTCAAAAATATGATGACTATTAATATGATATGTTAACATAAATAAATAATATAGTGTTAAACAATCCTTACAGGAATTATTAAGTTATTAATTGATGAAAAATTACACTAACAATTGTTATTAAGTAGCTTTGTAATATAGTGTCTCAACCGAAGGACCTCGTCGACACTGGATGTAGCAGATGAAGTGTGGTTAACATTTTATCATACACTCTCCTATGCTTTCATTCAGAGTTGTTAATAATTATTATTACGAGCATTTCGTACTTCTATTTCTAATATCCGAGTCTTCGTCTTCACTATTTGCATGAATGTTAACTGTTTTTCCGTGGATTAATCACGGCTGTTTTGTTCCCTTTTAGGTTATCAAGATGGTTTGTGTCGTACTTATAGCTTTTGTTGCTTGCTGGCTACCTTTACAAGTTATCATCCTGTATTCTCAGTTTATACATTCTAGCACAGAAATTGGAGAGGTAGGTAAGGGATTTTAATGATGCAAAAGAAAATTCTTACAAAATCTTATTTGATTAAAGCAAACATCTAAGTTCTATTCGTATATTCAATCTTAACAACAATCTGTTATTCTGAGTACAAAATAAAAATATCATATTTACCATTAAAAGGTAGTATATATATGCAATGTAAAAAAATAATCCAGGTGTAACACCTGCAATGTCAAAAAAGATAATACAGGTGTAATGCCTGCATTGTAAAAACGATAACCCAGATGTAATGCCTGCAATGTAAAAAAGATAACTCAGGTGTAATGCATGCAATGTAAAGATAACCCAGGTAATATACCTGTTATGTAAAAAGTAATCCAGGTAATATACATGTAATGTAAAAAGATAATCCAGATAATATACCTGTAATATAAAAAGGTATCCCAGGTAACATACCTGTAACGTAAAAAGGTATCCCAGGTAACATACCTGTAACGTAAAAAGGTATCTCAGGTAGTATATCTGTAATGTAAAATGATGTAATGTAATGTATACCTCAGGTTATAACGTCGAAACATGCAGTCATTATCATCACCAACCCAGTATCTAACTTAAACATACAGTCATTATCATCACCAAACAGGTATCGAATTTATACGTGCAGTCATTATCATCAACAAACAAGTATCGAATTTATACGTGCAGTCGTTATCATGTATGCAGCATAAACATGCAGTCATTGTAATCACCAACCAAGTATATATCTTAAACATGCAGTCATTATCATCACCAATCAAGTGTCTAACATTATTCTGTAGAAAAATGAGGTCAAGAAATTTGGTACTATTCTTCCTCAATTCTACATGTAGTAAAATCCCAAACCTAATAATGCAATGGTCGTTTGTACTTAAGTGCTCGCCAACTACAACTCTGTCTATCACATTCACATCGGATGCTAATATCAAATCTAATATAGCTTCCTCTTTTGTAGGTTCCATCACCAGTTGGTGTATAAAGGTATCCTGAACACTTTCCAAAAAAAAAAACCTATCCCTCTCACTGTCAGACTCAAAATGATCCCAACCAATATCCCTGATATTAAAATATCCCATAATAACAACATCTTTTTCAACTACTATTCTGATCTCATTATACAGTTTCTCATTAACTTCCATATTTTGATCTAGTGGTCTATAAAAACTCCCAATTACAAGACTTTTCCCTTTATATCCACTAACGCTCAACCTTAGTGCTATTTTCTTTAATATGCTCTAACTCAACAGGATGCAATTCACCCCTCACATATAAAGCTACTCATCCCCCTTTTTTCAGTACTTTATCTCTAGTAAATAATCTGTAGCTTGGTATTTCATAAAAAACATTCTCTCATCAAAAATGTTCAAATCCAACCAAGTCTCAGTGATACCCATGATGTCAAAATCCTCAGTTTCCACAACTTCTTTAAACTCATCAGTTTTATCTCTAATACTCCTAACATTACAATAGTAACAATTAATCATAGATTTTAAAATATGTTCATGTTTTATACCTGTTGTACATGTTTTCTTGTCAATTATATTTCCTATTGTACTAATATCATAGCTCTCACTTCTGTCTAGCCCTAGTTTAAATCTACCACTACAACTGAATTAACAACCCTTGTTAACATGCTAGCCTTGCCTTGTTTAAGTGTAAGCCATCCATTCCAAAAAATATTAACTTTCCCATTAAAATTATACCACAAATCCAACCAGCCGATTTGCTCATCCATACATATTGATCTAAGCCTG